AAAAAAAAAAGAAAGGTTCTGGTTAAGTGTGCAATATTCTGCAATCCATGTGGGGTTAGGACTCAAATCTGGAGAAGATGGTGTTCTGTGAGACACACCAGGTTCCTAGTCCTTTCTGAATTTGTTGATTGGGATTATGAATTGGGTGTGTTCAGAGACCCAGAAAATGGGGGTTGATTTATAGTTTATAGTTTTTTTTAAATTTAGATACACCCTGTCTTTAGTGAGGGCAAAAGAAGTGGAGACTGATTCTTTTCTTACAGGCTTCAAGCAAAGCTTTTAGACTACACTAGGAATTGATGAATTTTTTTCTGTAAAGGGCCAGATAGTAAATATTTTGGGTTTTGTAGGTCTTACAGTCTCTTGATACAGCTACCCCCTTCCGCCACTGCGGAATGAAAGTAGCCATAGATAGTACTTACAATGAATGGGTGTAGTGTAGCTGTGTTCTAGTAAAATTTTATTTGTAAAAACAGGTGGTGGGCTGGATTTGTCCTGCAGTCTATCATTTATTGATCCCTGAGCTAGATCAAAATACATGATTTTTTTTTTTAATTTTCTTTCAACGTTTATTTATTTTTGGGACAGAGAGAGACAGAGCATGAACGGGGGAGGGGCAGAGAGAGAGGGAGACACAGAATCGGAAACAGGCTCCAGGCTCTGAGCCATCAGCCCAGAGCCCGACGCGGGGCTCGAACTCACAGACCGTGAGATCGTGACCTGGCTGAAGTCGGACGCTTAACCGACTGCGCCACCCAGGCGCCCCAACAATACATGATTTTAAAACCAGGTGGCTTTCAAAAATTTTAAAGATTTTAAGAGTGGACAGATTGAAGTCCAAGTTACTTAGTATTATATGTAAGATCCTTCACAATCTGCTACCAACCTGCTATTCTAGCTTCATTGTTTCATACTTTTTTTAAAAAATATATAATTTATTGTCAAATTGGTTTCCATACAACACCCAGTGCTCATCCCAACAAGTGCCTTCCTCCCTGCCCATCACCCACTTTCCCCTCTCCCCCACCCCCATCTACCCTTGGTTTGTTCTCATTCCTTAAGAGTCTCTTATGGTTTGCCTCCCTCCCTCTCTAACTTTTTTTTTTTCCCGTCCCCTCCCCCATGGTCTTCTGTTACGTTTCTCAAGATCCACATATGAGTGAAAACATGCGGTATCTGTCTTTCTCTACCTGGCTTATTTCATTTAGCATAATACCCTCCAGTTCCATCCACGTTGCTGCAAATGGCCAGATTTCATTCTTTCTCATTGCCAAGTAGTATTCCATTGTATATATAAACCACATCTTCTTTATCCATTCGTCAGTTGATGGACATTTAGGGTCTTTCCATAATTTGGCTATTGTTGGAAGTGCTGCTATAAACATTGGGGTACATGTGCCCCTATGCATCAGCACTCCTGTGTCCTTTGGGTAGATTTCTAGCAGTGCTATTGCTAGGCCATAGGGTAACTCTATTTTTAATTTTTTGAGGAACCTGGTGCAGCCGCTCATACTCTGTCTTTAACATACCTATGACCTGGCTGCCCTGGGCAATGTAAGCCGCTCCCTAACCATTCCTGGGACCAAGTAATCTGCCCATTTTACATTTTATTTGCCTAGGATGCTGGTTTAACTCTTCCCCTGGAGGCCCTCTCATCTGGAGGCCTGCTATTGTCTAGTGCCCTTTGATACAAAATAACTTCTTTACATATTTAGTTCATTCATACCTTATCCCAAGTCACTTCTCACCTTGCTTAACAAACTCCATATCATTCATTCCAAACTCTCTCCACATCATTTGTTCTGGCCCTACTTTGAGGTCATTTTCTACATAGTCACTATAGTGATCTTTAAAAAAAAAAAAATGTAAATGCCACTTTCTGCTTAAAATTTTTCAGTGGTCTACTAGCACTTGGAGTAAATCTCAGGATGGCCTGAACTATGCATAATTCTCCAGTGTCATCATGTCATTCTCCTTGTTCCCATACTCTAACTACATTTACCTTTTACCTTCTCAGAAATATCCAGTTTTTTCTCAGTGGCATGTATTATTCTCTGCTTAAAACCCTCTTCTGCCTGCTTCTCACATGCTTGTCTCCTTTAGGTCTTAACTTATATGATACCACCTCCAGAGCCAACTTTTCCTTATCATAGATTCCAAAGTAATTTATTTTGCCATCCCCCACAATCACTTGCACACTATTTTCATAACACTTACTGTAATTTGTAATTATATATTTAGTTGTTTGTCTTCTGTTTTTTCAGCTACACTGTAAGCTCATGAGGGCAGGGAGCATGACTTTCTTTAACCATCATATACCAAACACCTTGTCAGAGCTTAGCACATGGAAGACATTTAATAAATATATGTTGAACGAATATAGACACATATATTGACACCTTCATCATGACTCTTATTTCATATAATAATTGGTTGTGTATGGGTCTGTTTCCTCTGTTACACTGTGACTTTATTATTTAAAAAATTTTTTTCTGTTTCTAGCACCTTGCATGGTACATGATATATTAGGTACTCATTACATGGCTTTCCTAAGCCAGTTACTGGAAAGTATCTAGCATTCAGTACCTGATGCATAGGTAGTAAATAATATTTTCCTTTCTTTTAAAACTTACTGAAGAATTTAGTGACTAGGATATATTTTCCCTTCTGAGAGTTTATTTATATTTAAAACTTTTTTTTTTCGAAATCGCAGTGTCCATCAAAACATTCCAGTAGTCATAAGCCAGTTATATACTGTCTGTCTTCAAGGTCTCAGTGTACTAACTTTATAAATCTAGAAGGCTTAGGGAACAGAAAGCTGAGAAGTCAGATATTAAAGAGACTTAATGAGATCCCTGCCACATGTTTCTTTAGCCTTTTTTCCCATGCAGGCAGTTCTTTATCCAGTCTAGACACAAAGAATGTTGGATACAAGCCAGTGTTGGTTGGTAATAGAATAGCCCTAAAAGGACTAACTAGGGTCTAGTTAATTTCCAATCAAGAATATCTTAGTCTGTTTTGTTTTATTTTATTTTATTTTATTTTATTTTATTTTATTATTTATTTATTTTTAATTTTTTTATGTGTTTTGAGACATGGCTTACTGTAGCTTCGGAGTTTCAGAACAACCCGGACATATACCTAATCTCAGACTTGGTAGAATCTCTGGTTTAATCCTGTAACTGCTACATCTCCTTGAAATCTTCAGTAGGGACTAAGTCAAAACATTTTTGTTTTCCTAGTATCTGGATGCACAATTTAAAGAAGAGCGGTATATTCTAGGAATGAATCTACCTTAGCCCCCTTCCATCCCTCCCTCCTTCCCTCCTTCCTTCCTTTGACATGGGACCATGGGATTAACCTAGAATTACACAATTTGAGATTATCTAGTTTTAACATGTTCATTTTGTGAGGCCCAGGGAAATCAAGGAACTTGCCCAAAGGCATGTAGTATATAGCTGGACCTAGAGCCTCCAGTCTACTTTTGGTTTAAGATTGACAACAGACTGCTTGTTAATTTTTCTTGCACAGAAAACTCCTTGTGGTATGATTTTTGTATTGATATGAAAATTTTTAAAAAGTCAGTTTGATATATGCATGTATGACAAAATATATGCAAGGAAGGGTTACATTATAAAGGTAATACAATTATTACCTTTATGTAAGGTAATTATGTTAAGAAATAATTTGAGTATTTAAATGTGGTGTTATTTATAGTCTTTACAATACAGATCTATTCTGTATGCATTGCAGGTGAGACACATGTAGGGATTGAATTTTTAATCAGTAAGTATGGCTAGCTCATAGTTCTCCTGGAGGCCTGTGTAATAATTTTTTCTTCTTTTCCTTTCAAACATCAGAATCCCAGTAAAGAATGTGAGCCTTATCGAAGAAACGAAGACAAACCAATTGCTCCTTGTGGAGCTATTGCCAACAGCATGTTTAATGGTATGATATAGTTATAAACAAAAGATATGGATTATAAATATATATAATTACAAAACTTTGCATAATTTATTGATACTGATTTGGTAGTCTAGTAAACATGAATGAAATTGAAAAATTCAGCAACTTTAAAATAAATATATCAACTAGTTATTCAATGGAATGTCATAATGATTTGGGACTTTTTTGAGAATTCTTATACTTTAAGAATGAATTCTCTGGGAAGAAAGGAACGGAGACATTCTGCTAACTTTCACATTTCATATATGATAAAATAAAAGCCAGGCTGCCTTTTCCACCAACTTCAAATATTTATACCATTACAAAGGAGCTATAGTTGATCTTTTAGGGCAGCACTGTCTGATACAAATATAATGTAAACCATCATTGTGAGACATGTATACATAATTTAAAATTTTATAATAGGCACATTAAAAAACACTAAATAGAAACAAGTAAAATTACTTTTGCTAATATACTTTATTGAACCCAATATGCCCCAAATATTATTACCTTTTTACTGTATAAATTGTGTTCAGTATATAAAATATGAGTGAGATATTTTATATTCTTTTTTTAATTTAAATTCAAGTTGAGATACTTTATTTTTTTTGTACTGAGTTTTTAATTTCTGAAATGTATTGTTCCAAAAATATAATAATATATTATTACAAAACATATTTATTTGGACCAGCCATAATGTCAATGGCTCTGTGGCCATGTAGCTAGTGGCTACCATATTGCACAGTGCAGGTAGAGAAATGGATAAGCTAGAAACTATTTAGGAGTGCATTTTTTAAAGAAAAGGAAGAGAAGCAAATTTACCCTGCAAATTATTTTATTTGGGTTAATACTAAAACATTTCGCCTTATCATATACCAGCTAGCCATATAGGAGAAGTGACTTATAACTATATTGAGGGAAGAGAAGTCCATCTAGGATTATAAAGTTACCATAGATAATTCACATATAAGTAGTCAAGAGCAAATATATGTCATATGCCTGCTTACCCAGTTATAACCCCTTTTGGGAGCAGATACCAGATCCTTATTTCTCAGAGTATAGTAGATCCTATGGATATTCAGTAGATACTTAGCAAGTTTTTCTTTTTTGTGTGTTTAGATACATTAGAATTGTTTCTGGTTGGCAATGAATCTCATCCTACACCTATTCCTTTGAAAAAGAAAGGTATTGCTTGGTGGACAGATAAAAATGTAAAATTCAGAAATCCCCCTGGAGGAGAAAGTCTAGAAGAACGATTTAAAGGTAAAATTTACTAATATTTCTTTCAAATATGATATAAGCAAGGAGTTTTAATGAAGTACCTAAAATTTTCTATCTTTAGAATCTTAAAAACTTTTATGCTTTTTTAAAAACAGCAACTTTTCTTAACTTCATACCAAGTTAGGTAAAATATGTAGGATGTTCTAATGTACTGAAATTCTAAAGGAAATGTGCATGTACATTTAATCTTGAATTTTTCTGGTATTTTCTTATAAGCATTTCAGCCATTGTCTTTACAAATCGCAGGCAAGTTTCTTTTAAACAAGACCCAATTTTTTATTATAATTATAAATTTAAATTTAGTTTTGATTCTGTGCCTCCTAAATTTTGCAATGTAATGTTTTTTACCATTATATCTTTGCATTAAATCATCTGCTTTTTGGTATGTACCTCATAGCGTACTTTTAGTATTTTCTTAATGGAGATAGCCATCAAATCTTTGTAATTACTTGTTATTACATGAGGAATTGGTTTGTCTCTAGATTTCAAGACTTTCTTGGAATATGCCTATATTTATACCTTTGAGAATAGGAAAAATATTCAGATTGTGTATTGCATATCTATTTTATTTGAGTGTGAATTTTCAGTGAAACTCCTAATAGAATTGAATATTTTGTCCCCTCACCCTTCTCTTCTTTTTTTAAGATACAACAAAGCCAGTAAACTGGGTTAAACCAGTGTACATGCTGGATTCTGAACCAGATAATAATGGGTTCATAAATGAGGATTTTATTGTTTGGATGCGAACTGCAGCATTACCTACTTTTCGTAAGTTATATCGTCTAATAGAGCGGAAAAGTGATTTACATCCAACATTGCCAGCTGGACGATACTATTTGAATATCACATACAGTATCCTTTTTTGGCCATGTGCACAGATTCATAGGATTTGAAAAGAGAAAGAGTATAGTTTAGTCTTATCTCATTTATGTGACATGCTATTCTGTGTTTTAGTTTTGATCTCATTTTTGTAAAAGTATGTGTGTATACATATGAGAGGGTATCTTTTCACTTATATCTTCCAGAAGTCTTAAATTTTTATAAGCTTTGTACTAGCATTCAGGCATATTATTTGATAAAATTATTTAAGATGCTGGTGGTAGATTTATTAATATGCTAGATATTTCTACAATGGAAATTGTAATTGAGCTTAATGCAAAGGCCAGTGAACACAACTGATGCTAAATTAGCATTCAGCTTATTTAGATATATGTATCTATATATACTTTTATATATTCTTTAGATATTAAGAATCAGTGAATGTTAGTTCACATCAATATAATTGTTTGTAACTATTATGTTCATGGTACCAAAACACTTTTATCATTAGCTGTATTATTTTACGTTAATAATTCAGGTGTACTTTTCAGTGCTGATAAATATAATTTATTTCATTCTGATTATATGTCAACATTGTACCAAGTACTGTTCATGCATTATTTTATTTTATTTGAAGCATTATGAGATGGGTATCATCATCTCCATGTGCGTAGCCACGTATATAGGAACATAGAGCATTTAAGTAACTTACCCAAGGTTATGCAGATAATAAGTAGAAGAGTTGGGGTTCCTAATCAAGCTATTGACTCCAAAGGCCATGACTTTACCATCTGCCACTACTACAGGCCGCATCCCTAGATAGTTCACTCAAGTAATCAGACCAAGCCATAGCCATATTGGCTTGGTTACAAAGTCTTCTTTAGCTGACAATAATGGGACACTACCCTTTATTCTAAACAAAGTCCTTACATCTTTTAATCTGTAGCCCATTGCTTACATATATCATGAATGAAAATTTTCTCAAATATTAGCATTTGAATGTTTGCTAATGCTTTGCATTTTTGATTTTTCATAATCCAAATGAGCTATTAAAACTAAATATAGTTTTAGTTTTATAATGTATTAGTGAATGGTTAACAGACCTAATTTCAAAACAAATGTCTTCTTGGATCCTTAGCCTCTTAATTTTGCACCTGAGTATGCAACTGAATATGACCTGATAATGACAGACTAAAAGTAGCCACGTTTTGGAAACGAGGCCCACATAGGAGCAATTATCCTGAGGCTAGTGCCAGAGTAGAAGGCAGCTCTGTTACAGCATCCAGAAGATCTAGTAAGGAGTAAGGGCAGATACCACCCTGTAGCCTAGAGCATAATTTAGGGAAGTCTTTGGAGTACTTAGTACTTTGTCTTAGTTAAGAGACTATTTGCATCCAAGACACTGAGAAGAGAAATCAAAGAACGTAGGCTCTCAAAGACTGACGAGACAGGAATTTGGGTCTGCGAAGCATCAAAGGTAATTATAAAAATGAGGTATCAAGTGGGAACTAGACACCAGAATTAAGACAGAAGCCCATTTTGGGGGGTTGGGATATAGAGAGGCTAGCATGAGTGATTTGATAGTTTGTCTCCCAGAGTGTTAATATTAGTTAGAACTCTTATTATAATCATTCCTGCTTCAGGTTTAGGGTTGATTTAAGAAACTGGCAGTGTCTGCCATTTGGAGTAATAGGGCACATCTGTAGGGATGGGAAATTGCAGAGAGAAACAAATGGGGCCTAAACTTGATTCCAAAGATGTCTTTGAAAAGGTTGTAAACCTTTCACATAGGGATTTAGTTCTGTGTTCTCTGTTCTAATTCTTGCCAAAATCTTAGAATTGGTCCATGTAGATAGCTCATCCAATATACTGGTGTCCCATTTCTTAAATCTCTTTAACAGTTCACCCTTCATTTCTACTCTCTTTCAGCCATCACCTCTGTGTCACACTATGAGTTTTGTCATTGCTCCAAATCAACAAGTTAAAACTTCAATATCATACTCTTTGACCTTGTGCTCTGAGCCCTCTTGTATTCTCATAATTACTCTTTTATTACACATGCTCTTTGAGCTCACAGACCCCTCCAACCTCTTCATTCTTCCTTTTTCTTCTGGTCTGTCAGTCTTCTCTTCCTCTGTTGGTTTTATTGCTGTTCATCTGAAATATTTTTTTCACATTACATTTCTTTGTGTCTTTTGCCCCTTCTGTGTAATGAGAGTAAAAGTACCTAAGAAGCCATTTAACCCTTAAATTCGGTTGTTTTTGCTTGTAAACTATATTGGTTTTCACTACTAATGTTTAACTTGCTAAATCAGTGCTTCAAGGTAATAGTCATATAATTATGTTGTGGTTCGGAAAATGTGAGTAAGGTGCCTGTGTATCATAGAATTATACCAGTGAATTACAAGCAATTAAATGCTAAATTTTTAAGTTGTGTTTTAAAAATCAAGTAACTAGACATGGAAAAGCCTTCCTATACATTCTTCAGATTACCCTGTACACTCTTTTGATGGACGAAAACGGATGATCTTGAGCACTATTTCATGGATGGGAGGAAAAAATCCATTTTTGGGGATTGCTTACATCACTATTGGATCCATCTCCTTCCTTCTAGGAGTTGTACTGCTAGTAATCAATCATAAATATAGAAACAGTAGTAATACTGCTGACATTACCATTTAATTTTATATTCTGAAAACAGATTTACTGCATGTGCATCAAGGCCAGTCCTATTCAACCTAGCTTTCGAATGCTGATGTCTGGTTAGTATGTCATTTTTGAAGTTGGCACATAACTTTGGTTTTTTTAAAAAAAACAGTTTTTGTCCTTTGCTTCTTCCTTATGGATGTCTTATGGAACTATATGACGGGTATGAAACAAATTAACTATATAGATCATATCAACACTGTAACTGCTGAAATGGCATTCTAATGTTTGCTTTTTGTTGGGTCAGGCCATATGATGCATAGTCTCTCTTATGTGAAATGCATCTATTGCTTAAATATTTATGCTGTGTTGATAATATTATATTGACATGTGATGCTGTATATGTGTGCCTGTTGTGTGAAGAAAGGGATTACAAGATGTATGAATATAACACCTTGCTAACCTTGCAGGATTCAGAGTTACAAAAAAGATCTAAATCTAAATAAAACGCTTCATCATTTTCATGTGTCATGTGTAAAGGCTTAAAGTGCCATCTTTGTTGAGGTTGTTCAAGTATTCCATTTATCCAGTACAGTTCTTTGTCAAGTATAGCTTTGATTTGAAAGGACATGCTTACCTTGTCTAGCATAGGAATTAACGGTCATGTCTGAAGAGGTCAGATGGGTCTCAGGTGGGAGAATTTAAAATTCCTTTTTCCATTTGATTAAGATGTTGCAGTCAGGAACCCCAACTCACTTGATATGTTTTTACATGTGATCATTTCCCTTGAAGCTTATACTTCATAAGGGACAAAAGAATATAGGTGAGATGGGAAAATTTCTTGGCAGACCTTCATCTTCTGCCAGATGTAAGTGTTCAGAGGAAACTGTTTTCATTCTTGTGGTATTTAACATTCAGAAATTTGCTTCAGCATTGGAAATACCTCAGGCTGTTTTTATTTTGCAGGTAAGTTTTGATTTAAGTACTAATGTTGTATTGCAGAAAATTTAGAAAACAGTGACTTTCATATTTCATTCAATTTTTGCATATAGGTCAAATATAGAGATGTATGCACATTCTCTTTGGTTAAGGTACCAATTTTTTTGGTTGGTTTCTCCTAAGACACTTAAAAAATAAATTCTTTAAATTTCCTAAATAAATTCTGGAGATTTTGCAGTATGCACATGATAAATTATAATATATATGGTTGAAGTTACTTTATTTTCTATTAACTGGAATTATTTTAATATTCCTTATGGAATAAATGCTGTAATTTGTTTGCTATGGAACTTACTCTTGAATGTAAACTTACTTTTTCAACATGCATGAAAATGTATGTCTTAATCAGAGGTGGCTTAATTGCATAGAAATGGCTTTTCTTTTTTAACTAAAATAACTCCTATATTTGTATAGAAGAATGGCTGTTTATTCAGAGTTTGTGATGATTTTGTTCAGTTATATTTTAAATCAAAAGGTCTGGGTAATGTATCAGTTTTGATTAATATATGTTTTTTTTTTTTTTAAAAACAACAACAAAAAATAATGTAATGGTTAATAGAAATGTGCCACACTTCTTAAGTTTTGTATAACATGAAATTTAGTTAAAAGAACTTGTAATTCATAATTACTTTTAACTGGTAGAATATCACTTGCATGAGGTACTTAATGTATGATTATCCTGAAATTTCTGAGTGCATAGGGTATTCTTTGTCTAAAAATATTCTTTGTCTTGTCAGTCCTTCAGAATATTGTTATTTATTCTGACCATTGACCCTCTTTCACATGGCAGTTTATTTTCTGGGACACATCACTGGGAGAGAAGGTTTTTGCCAGTCTTCCCAGATTGAGTTTGTTTTGTTCAAGGAGGACTGCCGTCCTGCGTCTCTTTTTCTAATTAGGGGACCAAAGGTGCCACGAAAGAAAAGTTGAAGACCCTTCCAACACTTTCTCATCTGGGGTGAAGACAGAATCTTAAGATATATTTGGAGTTTTATCTATTTACAAGTTCATCGATGGCCTAATTTCCTTCCCGTCTCCTGCCGTTTGAGCGCTAAGGGATTCCTGTTACTAATTATGAAGAATGTGGAACATTCATATGGCCTCTGCGAAGCCTGGTGGGAAGGAAAAACATTTCTTTTTTTATGGGGCTTATGCTCATCTTTTGGAAATATTAATGTCATATTCAACTTTTAGAGAATCATACTGCATTTTATTGCATTCAGGTTAAGTAGAAGGCATTGAAGAATGCATTGACTTACAGGAAGTATTTTGATATATGACATTTCCCAATTGAAGGAATTATTTAATATGTAAAAGCTAAGAAGTTTCATTGAAATCATAAGGCAGTTAAAAATGAATTGGTAAAAATAATTGTACTACCAAATGGAGAATTATTCAACCAAGAGGAGAGTCAAGTGAATATTTTTTGTTTATTGGTTAGTTATCAGTTTGTTTGTAACCTTGATTATATTTAAAGATAAGTTCTGTTAGTATGTTCTGTATTAATAAAAATGAACAAAATTAACTTTGCTATGTTCAAGTGTCTTGCTAAAATAATAATGCCTCAGTGTTGTTGTTAATGTTTAAGCACTAAATTTTAGCCCAAGGTCAATAAATCCCACGTTTTAACATTTCTGTGTCTAGATTTGATTGCCATTATGGATATATATTAATCATTTTGACAGCATTAACTGCAAGGTTTGTATATATTACTTAGAAACATCTGTTCTTACCAGGAGGTGGTCATATTGTCACCTGAGTTATAGGTAGATGGGCTAAATTTGGTATTAGATCAAGGAAATGTCTAGTAAATAGAAAAGGAAGAAGTGGTAGAGAAGTAAGGATGATGAAATAATGAAGAGGGTGGGGCATACAGGAAACAAAAAGCCAGACCAGGAAAGAGAACAGCTGACTGGAGGGTTAATGAATGCTCACCTTCTATCTTCATGGAAACAATGCCTTAGAATTCTTGTATCGTCCTTTGTTGGTTAAGGTGAAAAGTCTTCTTATTTATAAACATGTGTTTTTTGAAAGGAGGGGAGAGGCAGTAAAGGAGTGCTGTTTCAAGAGGAGTTTTGATGCATAAATGTTTGTTGTAGAGTTTGGATGATCTAAGGAAGTGTTTTAGAGCTTTTTTTTAGCCCATGCTCCATTCAATAAACATAAAAATCATATTTCCCCTAATGTCATTCAAAATTTCAAAATAAACATCATGTCTAAAATCAAATCGATCACGGTGACCTTATTTGATTTTATAGCTTTGTAAATAAATAAATTTATATTTTATCAAAGTAACGTGTATATACAGTTAAAAAAAAATCGACAAGCCTTATGATGAAAACCAGTAGTCCCTGTCCCAACTTTCTTTAAGTCTTAGAGATAATCACTTTGAGTCCAAAAGTTATCTTTTGGCATTTGTTTTAGTGTATCTAAACAATATGCCTAGTCTGCTATTGCTTGATTTAATGGTTTTAGTCATCATTAATATCTTCTTGATAATGTTAACCTGCTGATTAAAGCTCTTTAACATACCTTTCCTTCTCCCATTATTATTACAGTTATATCATATTTGGGAAACACAGCTATTATTACTTATGACTGTGGAGCAAAGCATTGCACCACGATTACATTTCACATCATTTTATTTATCCTAGAATTAATAATTGCCTCATTTTTAACACATAATTTCTAGAAACCTATCTTAAGCTTTTTCCAGTTATTCTGTCAGGTCCACCATATTCTCATCAATAGTTTTGAAGGGTTTTTGTCCCCAAATATCAGATAATCTGATTCCCTGTTTTTACTAGGGAGATCTATTCTGTATTTGTCCTTTTATGCCAATCTGAACTGGTTGTTTTCTTGACCAGTTACACAGCCATTATCCCATGATCTCCTCTTGTCACCTTTCTATGTTGGATCTGTTTCCTAGTTTATTCTGTAGTTTACTGGAGCACTACCTAAAGCACTTAAAGCTTCCTAAGAAGTGGTAGCTGAGAGGCAAATTTTCTGTGTCTAAAATGTCTTTTTTCAATTTTCACATCTCATTGATAGTTTGACTACATATACAATATTAAGTTTAAAATAATTTACCCTCAGATTTTTTTAAATAAATTTTTTTAATGTTTATTTTTGAGAAAGAGCATGAGCAGGGGAGAGGCAAGAAGACAGAATCCAAAGCAGGCTCCATGCTTTGAGCTGTCAGCATAGAGCCGGAAGTGGGGCTTGAACTCACCAATGGTGAGATCATGACCTGAACCGAAGTCGGACGCTCAACCGACTGAGCCACCCGGGCACCCCTCCCCTCAGAGTTTTGAAGGTATTGCTCCACCCTCTTCTAGGTTTCATTGTTGGTTTTGAGAACTCAGTTTCTATCCTAATCAGATATTAGACCTCCTAGACTGATGCTTAATTTTCTTCTCTTTTTCTCCAGTTGTTTCAACACTATTGTCTGTGTTCTTTCTAAAAGATTTCTTCATTTTGATCTTCCAGCCTTATCGTCTACTGAATTTTATGTATATTTAAAAAGTATTTTAATTTCTAAGGCTTCCTTTATTTCTATTCTGTTTCTAAAAAATATTCATCTTAGTTCACAGATAAAATATTTTTCTGAGGGGGTGCCTAGGTGGCTCAGTTGGTTAAGTGTCCTACTTTGGCTCAGGTCATGATCTCGCCATTGGTGAGTTCGAGCCCCGCTTCGGGCTCTGTGCTGACAGCTCAGAGCCTTCATGAAGCCTGCTTCGGATTCAGCATCTCCCTCTCTCTCTGCCCCTCCCCTGCTCATGTTCTGCCTCTCTCTGTCTCTCAAAAAATGAATAAATGTTAAAAAATTAAATATTTTTTGAGGATATATATGCTTTTCTTTCCTATTCTGTTAGCATCGGTTTTTGTTGTTGTTTTAAGTTTTAGGTTGTTTTTTTTTTTTTTT